CATATTTATTTTCATTCCCATGAGAATTATATAGCAAACAAAATCGTACTTTCTTTGTTTTGGTAGAAATTGGCTTTATTTTCTTAATTAATTAAGTTATTTCTTTAAAGTGTCAAATAGCTTAGGTCTATTTATGCATGGTTTTGTATAAAGCTATTTTAGCAAATGAACGTTTGATCCCTATTTGGAGACCATATTGAGTTGTATGAAATTTCACAATAAAAGTTGTTTTTGAATTGAAGTTATATTGTTTGAGCAAAATGACAATAAAACATTTTCAAATCTTGAAACATTTTCTTTCTTGGATATATAGAGAAAATACATATATAATACATAACCTATTACAAAGATTATCTATGTGAGTGGCATTAGAGGCGTTGGCGGAGCCAAAATTTGATATTAAGGTGGGCTAAAGTTTACGGGGGTTCGTGGGCAGCATCCCCAATTATTTTTTAGAAGCTATTCGTAAAACACATCACGAAATAAGTAAATATGATACCCAAAAAATAGTCATTGTAGCTCTCTTTAAACTATAATTGGGTGGGCTAGAAATGAATTGAATGGGCTAATTATAATAAATAACATTAAAATAGCATTAAAAAAATTGAGTGAGGGTGGACTTCGGCCGACCCACCACTCTACATAGCTCCGCCCCTGATCACAAGTTGTCTAAGAACAAAAGAAACAAAGATATTAAACTAAAAAAATAAATCGACAGAGAAGCTATGAATTGCTAGACTCCAACGAACAGAGAAGCTCAACTTGATTAAATATTCCGTTGGGCCCGAAACCCAACAAATGTTAGTATTCATAATCTTGATTAAAGACATAAACGAAAGAATTGAATCATATGCTCCCAAAATTAGTCGGGCGAGGCCCGAAAATCTTGACTAACCCCAAACACAAATCACCCTGATTAACAAAATTAAGTAATTTTGGGTCTCGTGCGATTCAAGTTTATTTCTAGAATGCAAATTTTGTTTAGTACAATGTTGCTTGCTGCTTAGATCTATATATTTAATTATAACAGGATTATTTCCCTTAACCTCTTCCACATTTTTTTGCTTCTTGTGACGGAGGGGCATTATTGTAAACTATTGTCATTTTAATTTTACTCAATTATTCTCTTTATGATAAAAATAATGATTAGTATTATTAAGTAGTGTTTCTTTTTCTTTTTCTTTTTCTTTTTTTGGAAGAGAAAAAAGGTTGTGGGGATTGAGTAAAGGTGTTAAAATAGATGGTGTAAATGTGCATCTAAATTCTGTGATTGCATTTACTTGTTTCACTTTGCAAAAAGCTGTCGGCCTCGGAATAAAGTTTACTTATATTTGAGACATCCATATTGAAAAATAAAATTTAATATATGTAAGAAAATAATTGTGACAATAATTACATCATAAATATTGTTTTATGATAACATGATCTAATGGATAGTGTGAAATCATTTTCTCTTTTATTTGGGATTGTGGTATTATCACCGATCATGTGGTGCTTTACCTAACCTCATTGCAATTTGGACACACACCTAATTAATATAACCAGCCCCGCGAGGGATGACCTTATAAACGGTCGCTATGTCAAACTTGTCACACACGTTTAGTCTAGTGTGATTCACGTGTCTCGTTTAATTTGCAAGCTATTATACAAAAGTGTAGGTTTACCCACTGTATCTATATGATTGACTGAATTTGGAGTATAAAATGAGACTCGACGCAGAAACTAATTTGAGTTGGTTCTAATTAAGCACAATACATTCCAAAATACAATAAAATCTCGATAAATTAATAACCTCACTTAAATAGTAATTTTTCTAGTCTCGACTCAATAAATGCATAATACATTATTACTTCAACAATTTAATATTTCGCTAAATTAAAAGAATTTTGTTAGTCTCGACTATATTAATTTATAGAGGTTCATGTGTATGTACCAATATTACAAAAAAATAGTAAACATAAAAGTGAATTTGATTTATTTTTTCTTCTTCTTTTCATTTTTTCTATTATTTGATTATTAAGATATATTACACTTGATTCAACAATCGAATCTTATTTGATTTAATTCAACTCAGAAAAAAAAAGAAAAATAAAAAAACCTTATGTAGCTTGATAAGTTAGGTTTACTAGTATCAAAGCCCACTTATTTATAATAGGGGGCTGCTCGTGGCCCATAATTATGTTACGGCCTAAATGAAAAGTCCACTCTACATGCACTTGCTTGAAAATTAAAGCCCTTTAATTAGACTAAGAGCATGTTTGGCTAAGCTTATAAGTTCCTAAAAACATCTTATAAGATGTTTAGGAGCTTATAAGTTGTTAAAAGGTGTTTGGTAAAAAAATTGCAAAAGATCTTATTTTTTCCAAAAATAAGCTGTTAGGGAGCTTATAAGATGTTTTTAAAAAAGTACCTCTACCCCACCTTTTTTCTTTAAGATCTTATTTGCTTCTTTACTAAAATACTTAAAATACAAAATTACCCTCAAATACTTTATTATATTACATGAATACTAATAATATTTATATTTTATCAAAACAACGTATTCTTGTAATCAAGATTAATAATTAGTTAAATATAATTATCGTAATTATCATAATAATTTAAAAAAAAATTATTCTCTATTTATATTTTATATGTATATAAAAATACACGAATATTATTATTATCTCTATAATAAATTATATTTCTTTCATCTATAAAAAAAATTATATTTCTTTTACAACTTTTATTTAATATTATTATTATTATTTGAAAAAATAATTTGTAAATATTATAATAATATTTTAGGAACAAAAGTATTTGAGTCAAATAAGTTTAACAATTATACTGGCGTCATGTACTTTTTTGTCATTATAGCAATAAACAGACCTTTTATTTCCAAACACCTGAACAACTTATAACAGCAAAAAGTAACTTATAAGCTACATATCCAAACACCTTAAAAAATAATTTTTAAAATAAGATCTAACAGCTTATCAGCTCCTAAAACATCTTATCAGATGTAGGAGCTTATAAGATGTTTTAAATAAGCTTAGCCAAACGGGCTGATTTAAAAAAATATTTAACTTATTATATTGGGGCTCTTTGAGGAAATCCCCTCATTACTTCTTTTGATAGAGAGAGGCCCAAAATATTTTTGTCCATTTGAGAAAAATCCATACCCATTTTCAGACATTATATTTTCCAGCTTTGCCCCCACCCGCCACATCATCACTGTGTCATGCGCTCAGCGTTTTTTTTTCTTGTTTTTCTCTTTTTTTTTTTCGGTCTTTTCTGTATCAGTTTCCTTAATCGACTATGAAGCATAGTTGATTAGCTTTAATCGACTATGCTTCATAGTCGATTAAGGAAATTCTTTAATTTTTAATTTTTTTAATTTTTTTTTCTTTTCTATATCAGGTATATTAATCGACTATGATGAAGCATAATCAATTAAGAATCTGCTACTAAACATAACAAATCACAATTGCAAAAAAATGCAAAAATCAACAATATTTTACAAAATACAAAGACTATACGAACATTGTAATTGATTTATACAATTCATGAAATCAATAAACGAAAAGTTGAAAAATAAAATAAAAATGGGAGTTGATTGACCTTAATCGACTACCAGAGCATAGTCGATTAACTTAATCGACTATTAAAAATGTACATAATCGATTAAGATTCCAACCTGCGCGAATTTCTCTACCCGCGCCGTTATCCGCCCGATCCACCAAAAAACTAAATCTACCTCCCCATCGTCACCACATCGCCGCCACACCACTCTTTGTTAACCATAGTGGGAGTTCGATCTCCCATTCTCCTAGTTTCAAGAACTGAAATCCTCCAGTAACGACTTTACTGAAAAATTCCATTAAAATATAACAAGCAGAAAAGAGAGAAAAGAAAACACAGAGAAGAGAGAAGATGAAGAATTAAGAAATTCATACTTTGTTCCCAATAAACTATAACCTTGTCAAAATCAACAAAAAAATCTGATAGATCTACTCACACTCATGACATATTTGCATAAATTAATCTCAAAACAAATTGGGTGTTGTGTTTTTTTCTCTTAATTTGTTACGCGATTTATTGTAAGAAAAAATAAAAACAAAAAAGATATTAATGTGTATACAGCTTCAATCCTATTGATGATATGAGTGACACACTTTTCTATTTGTACAAAGAAGAAGAGGAGGAAAAGGAAGAGAGAGAGGGAGAGTACAATAGAGAAGAAGAAGGTGAGGAAAAACGAGTGAGAGAGAGAGAGTGTACAGTGAAAAGAAGAATATGAGGAAAATGAGGAGAGAGAAAGAGAAAAAAAAGAGGAAAAATGAGGAGAGAGAAAGAAGAAATGTACGTATAGAAGAAGATGAGGAAAAATGAGGAGAGAAGGTGTATTGGAAAATTAAAGATAATTTTGGAATTATGAAAATATCATTTGGTTACATTATTAAATGAGGGGATTTTCTCTAATTATTTTTGGGAGGGGTGTTTCCTTAACTACTTTTCCTAGATAAGGGTGTTATTACTAATTTTCCCTATTATATTAGTTTTTAGTAAAAATTATGTTATAAATTAATATTATATACATCAATATCTATATAGAATAAGAGGTGTGACAATTGTCGTTGTAGTAATACTTATTCGACTGCAAACGTAATTTTGACCATTATTGAGGTTGAATTTAACAAAACTCAGAACACAAAAAAAATTATATCTTTGAGTTAGTTTTCCAGTCCAACTTGAATTACCAAAATTGAATATAGAATGAAAAATATCGATAAATTCAATGATTATTGCTCACAATTCTGATTGATATAAAGTTCAAAATGTAACACGTGGTGATTAATTCGTCTAATCACAAGTACCATAAAGTATAAACTTCATGTGGTCCAAATTGGTCGAATTCTGGTGGATGTCGTAGTCTATGGGACCATTCCAGCATTTCATCTTTAAGAACATAACTTTTGAAAATGAAATAAAATTAATTTATGTATATAATTATATATATAATATATATATATCTATATATTTTTGTAAATGGATTATTGCATAACATATACATAAGTTTATTATTATTAATTCACGATTGAACACTACACATAATTGATACATACATACATAGAGTTTACATATATACATCATGCATCAACGATGTCATGCTGTATATGCCGGAGAAGCACCGGAATAGTGACCTCCGGCGCACTGAGCTGCGGCAGGTGTCCCTCGGTGGACATGACCTCCACGACCGACTTCCCGCCGAGGTTCTGGTGGAGGTACTCCGCCACGGCCACCGGCACCGCCAGGTCCTTGGAGCTCTGCACGATGTGGCACGGCACCGTCACGCGCCCCAAGTACTCCCTCAGGTCGAAATTGAACACCGTCCGGAACACGCTCAGCGCTATGTCCGGCCGCATGCTGAACAGTGTCCGGCTGAACTCCTGCACCGCCACCGAGTCCATGTCGCCGCCCACCACCAGCGGCGCGAATCCCGACACCCACGACTTGTAGTTCGTCTCCATTGCTCCGGACAGCTGGTCGATCTCCTCCTGCTCGAATCCCCCGTAGTAATCCACCGTGTTCAAAAACCTAAAAATTAAAAATATCAGTCAAACTTCTATAAATTAATAAAAAATTAAAAATAAGTCAAACCTCTATAAATTAATACAAAATTAAAAATACAAATTTCTATAAATTAATAAAAAATTAAAAATAAGTCAAACCTCTATAAATTAATAAAAAAAAAATATAGCTATACCTTTATAAATTAATAAATGAAGTAAAATTCTATTAATTTAGTGAAATATTAAATTATGGAGCTAATTATCAGAAAAAATATTATTTAAATAATATTATTAATTTATTGAATATTAATTTATTAAAGTTCTAATGTAAATTATATTTTTCCAAGATTCCACTTTTAGGAAAAAATTAAAATTATAAAATTGAAAAATGACGAAAATAACCTCGGAGAAGCGGCGATCAAGATCAGCTTGTGGAAGAGATCGGGGCGGAAGATGGAGGCGATGACGCCGGTCATGGAGGAGAGAGAGTGGCCGACGTAGATGCATTTGTCGACACTAAATTCCTCCAAAATGGCGAGTAAATCGTACGCGTAGCCCTCGAGAGTGGCGTACCGGTCGAAATCGAAGTAGTCGGGGTTTGTGGTCCCCGCGCCCATGTTATCGTAAATCACGACCCTGTAATGGTCGACGAGGTGGGGGAGAAGCTGCTTCCACACCGACTGGTCGGTGCCGAAGCCGTGGCCGAGTACGACGGTGGTCTCGCCGGAGCCCAAAACCCTAACGTTGTGTGCTGCTTCAACTACGCCCATTTTTTTTTTTTTAATATTCTCTGGTAGTGGAAGATATTTTTTCTTTTGTGTTGTTCGAAGAATGTGTGATGGATAGATAAATGGGAGTGGCAAGTTTTGACTTATGCGTGGAAGGTGGGGGTGGGGGCGGGGGCGGTGGCCGATCACATTTATACGCCTCGAGTGGGGGTGAAGTGAAGAATATTATGTATGTATAGGAGTATAGATATAGTTGGGGGTACGTGTACACCTAATTAATTTGGCCATATCCAACTGTTCATTTTGTAAATATCTACTAGCAAACCATATAAAAAATCGAACCGGTCGGTCGGATCAAAATTAACAATTTTAAAAGATTACGATTATGTTCTAGAGATATTAAAATTTTGCAATAATTTTTCTGATTAAATAATCTCTTTCTAGTTGTTCAAAATTAACCGTTTCTAAAGATTACAAGTATGTTCTAGAAATATTAAAATTTTGCATTAATTTTGGAAAGATTACAATTATGTTCTAGAAATATTAAAATTTTGCAACAATTTTTCTGATTAAATAATCTCTTTCTAATTGTTCTGACACAATCAGGAAGAAATACGGACTTCTGATGGCAACATGCTTGGTCACATGCGTTCTAAGAGAAATATTTGAATATCAACTCATACTAAATCTCATAAATCGAATTACTCCGCCTGAAAACTAACGTAGTATGCCCAATAAAATATTCCTTCACTGTAAAAAAACATTTGTTGAAAATCGAGATGTTATACATATTTCAATTCATAAGCATGGTAGTCGAAATTGGGATTCTAGGTAGAATCGAGAAGCAAGTGTAGAATCGGAATTGTAAAATCGGATCGTAAAATCGTAGGATTTTAAGTATCTTCTATATTAAATAACATCCCAAATAATATATATTTAAAATAACTCCTTGGACATATAAAAGTAAAAAGATCCCAAAACATAAATAAAACACATACCAGCATAAATAAAATAGGTCTTAACATAGTTTAACCATAAATAAAATGTCTCAACTCTCAATTAAAGTACGGTTTGTTTGATGCTACACCCAATGAAATACACCAGTAATTATTAACCGTTGATCTACATACAAGCACACACATACCCATATGTATGTGTGCTTAGAGGGAATATATTTCACTACATCAATAGTTAATAATTACCCAATGTATTTCACCAGGTATAGTATCTCAAAGATCATTAGAGGACTAATAAACTAGTTTAAGTCATCAATATTAATTTGCATTTGGATCTAATTCATCATCACTCCCCTCCATCATCATCATCATCATCATCATCATCATCATCATTGTCATCTTCTTGTTGGAAATTTAGCACAATACTTGCATTGAATCGTTTTTTAATCATTCCCAGTTGGCAAATTATCATCAATATAATATTTAGCTCAATCGCACAATTCAGTCAATTTTTTGCCCAAACTTAAAATCGGTAGAATCCCATTAAAATCGCGGATGTTAACGATTTTAAGGTCTTAAATCCCGATCCTAAAGAATTTTAACGCACTTGGATATTTTAATACGGATTTGACAAGGTGGAGGGGGTTAGAATCTTAGAATCCTAGGATTTTAGGATGCAAATCCTGATTTTAACTACAATGTTCATAAGTATTCGAAAAATCATAAATCAAATTTTCATTTTGAAATTTGGAGTGAAAAATATTATCTTAAAATCGATTTTTTTTCTCAAAATTGAATCGACAATATTAGGAACTTCGTTCCATACCTATCTTAGACGATATCAAATACGCACCACATGAAAACAAAGATATGCAATAAAAACGACACAAAGATTGTGTAAAGAATACATGCAATAAAACATGCTGATTATATGCCAAATCGGTGGATCTAACTAACACCTCTAGTAGTGATTATGAGCTCCGGCCGATTAGAGTGGTAAAACAATGCATCAAATATTAAAACTTAAAATTATGCTAGTAATGTAGATGAGGCCTTAAATAATATATTCACTGATGCTGCTGGTTTGCCATAAACATTCGTTCGAAGCGGGCCTTATCTTCTTCGTTGTGGGCCTTTATGAGATATAAATTAGCGGTGGAGAGGTAGGTGTGGGCCCTACCGAGGTAGCCGTTTTTCGAATACGCATCCATGTCGTTGGTCATGTGATCCTTTAGCATTGAGATCTTCTTCTTTAGTTCTAAAAACGACAGAGTCTCTAACATATATGTCGGTAGTTTAAGACTAGGTTCCCAATCAGGTGGGACCGGCACTGGGGCTACCGTATCGAAATTTAAAAGTTTTTGATATATTTCTGACCACGTCACTGGCGGCGGCATAGGCGGCGGCAGCTGGTCCAGATTTGCTAACATAGCATATTCCAATGCAAACTGAATTTCACGCCTGTGCTCATCTGACAACATTGTTTTTTCTTCAAAATTTCCTGAATATTCCAATTTCCAATTAAAACGTAAGATTAATATATGTGAAACTAGAAAATAAGAAACAAGAACAAAAATCTTATTCAAATTCGTCCAATTTAAAAATATACTCAACAATAAAGACATAGTAGAGATTCAGGATTTTGTAAACATAGATATAAAAGCAGAAAACAAAAATTATTATTTTTTACCTAAAAAACTAGAGAAAAAACAAATAAGAAAAGGATTTGTAACGCAATAGAGAGGAACCCTAAATTCGTTCTTGTAAAAAAGGCAAAGCTCTTACAAAAATCATAAGAAGATGAAAGATGAAGGATTTGTAACGTAATAGAGGATTCCGCAGGAGAATGAATACTCACCTTATTCGATAATTAATCTTTCGGATGAAAGATGAAAACAGGCTCCGATGCTTATTTAAACTATTTAAAATATTAATAATAATAGTAGTAATAATAATAATAATAGTAGTAGTGTTAGAGTATATTATATTATAGATTTCTTGTAATAGTATTATTCTAGTATGATTGAGTTTCCTAGATTATGTATGATTTAGTTACCCAGTTAAACTCTACTACCTTGTAATATTTCTCTATATACCCCTCCGTTCCAAAATAATTGTCGTTTTAGGTTGTTGCGACATATTAAGAAAATTAATAATTATGCATGGATTTTAGAAAAATACATATAATATGACTAAAATACCCATGTAATTAATTATATTTCAACTAATTAAGAGTAATAACTAATAAGGGCATAATCGAGAAAACAATCATTAATACATCATTGGAATTTTAAAGTGACAGATAAAATAAAACAAGAAAAACTCCCCAAAGTGACAGTTAATTTGGAACGGAGGGAGTATATTCAATGCAAATTAACCCATAATACAATAAGGGGTTTTCTATAATAATAATAATAATAATAATAATAATAATAATAATAATAATAATAATAATAATAATAATAATTAGACACGACCACGGGCCGGTTTGGGCCCGGACCCGAGTATGCATGGGTCGATTTTGGGTCTTGTATTTGTGGACCGGAGACCCGATGAGTCTACCCGGCGGGTCGACCAGAGGACCCGTCAAGTCTACCGGTTCTCACCGGGAACCGAACCGGAATCGGTTTGGAACCGAACCGTAAAGAAATGGATTTTTTCGATTCGGTTCCAATTTCTCCAAAATCGAAACCGGAACCGACGATTTGGAACCAGAACCGAACCGTGGTCAAGTCTATATCCGGGTAGAGTTAGACGGAAGGACATTTATTTTGATTGGCCTGGTCCAAAAAATCACGAGGAAAATAGAGGGTTGTTATCGATCGGCGTAAAAATTACACTGATCAAAGCTGTGCTTTCTTTCCGATTTATACTCTTTCTTGTGTGGCTATGCCCAATATTAATTGCCAACGTAAGAAATCATTAAAACTCTACAAACATTGCCAACGTTTATTCCTTTTTTATTAAATACAACCAAATAAGTATAATATATGTCTTCTTTAAAAATAAGAAGGCCAAATGTCTTTAATAGTCCCTCAAATATACATTATGTCCCGCTTTAGTCCCTCATCTTTAAAATACATCTATTTCATTCCTCATCTTTCAAAATTGTTCTTACGTGATCCTTCTCCTAACCATTCCGTCAATAACCAACGGAATCGTTAATAACCGATGGAATATTCCATATATTAAGAGTATTTTTGGTAAAACAAAAAGAATAAAAAAATTAAGAACATAGAGAAATAATTTTTATTTTTATTAGGCATTTCATATTATAAATTTGTCTAAGTTCATAAACATAGAAGATGAGTAATATAAAATTGTATATGATTAATCTAAAATAAATTAAACATCCATCTTTTGTTAGACATTTACTTACTTTTTTTTTTAGTTCACTTAGTATTGTGTTGGTAATATTTATCGCGAAGATAAGTAACCAATGGAATGTTCCACGTGTTCTCTATCCTATTTCTCGCAAAACTGCACTCTTTAACTTGGACTTACTTTGAAGCCTGATTCAAAAAAGAGATTTTTGGATAAGCCGGGTCTTGAGCACCAGTACTATCACCAATATCTAATATCTAGATTCGTTTGAGATTACTCCCCCTTACCAAGCACAAGACGTAGGACTTGATGTGATATTCATCCCATAGAATGATAAAAAACTCTTTTCGGGTTAACAAAGTCTATACAATAATAGGTTATCAAATCTGAAATGATTTACGAGGTACTAAAATTACGAATATCGTTCATTGTGTTCTTACCTTTCTCTCTCTAAAAACACTTAACCCACCCAAACCCTCCAAAAGTCCCAAAATTCACAAAAACCCCCAAAAATCCTTCCAAATTTGAAAATCTCTTAAATTGAAAGGTAAATTTCTTATCTAATTTAGTTATATGTGTATAATTTGTGGTTAAACATGCGAAACCCCCCCAAAAATCGCATTTTGGGGTTGTTTTTTATGGTGGTGTGCGCCATTCCCACGCCCAAAACGGGCGTGTGAAAATAGTTTTGGCGACCGTTCCAGGCGCGGGTCAGGGATATGCACGCCTAGACCGGGCGTGCAAATCCCCGACCGGCACCTGGACCGGTCGCTCGATTTTTCTATTTTTTTTATTAAGGTATACGTAAATAATTTTATAAAAGAAAGATATAAAGAATTAAATTTGTTGTAGTCTAGTTGGTTAGGTTACTCAACTCGCCCCCGAACGAATAAAAGCTTGGGAAATTTTTTTTATAGAGAGAGGAAGAGAGTGAATTATTTTAAACCCGTATTCGTAAAAATGCTACCGCGAATATCAGTTCCTTATCAAATATGTCTTACCACTCACCCCGATGTAGGACTCAATAGGACTTAGGGGTGTTCATTCAGTAAAATGGTATAAAAATCAAACCAAAATTTTGTAAATTAAAATTTGGTACGCCAAACTTTCATACCGTTTATCGAACCAAGATATACTATTTAGTTCGGTAAATTACCGATTACCTAAAATTTTATTGAAAACATTTAAAATTTAATTAAGATTCAAATTTTTAAATCAAATAACACTTCTAATTTCAATTTTGAAATTTTCGGAATTCAAAATTTTGTTCTAATCCTGGTAATTTTTGGAGAGTTCGGAAACTACAAAAAAAGAAAAACGCAATTGGAACGATTTTCAGAAAGTGAATTGAAAATATTTGGAATTTAATTGAAATTTTTAGAAATTAAAAAAAAAATCATAATACAAATAAATTTTTTGTTTGTTTCGTGACTTGGATAAAAGATAATCTAGTTCAACCTTTTAAAATATAGTACAAATACACAAGGAAGATGAACGAAAATAGATTTGTTTCCCCAATTAATTTTTTGGGTAAATTACAACCACCCCTAAGGTATGGTTAATTTACGAAAAACTCCTCTTGTTTGGATAATTACATCTACCCCTCAACTATGATTTTTTCTTACATCTTCACCCTTATGATGTCAAATTCAACATAATCATCTAGATTTCGTGGAATGTGCTCTAGTTTGTACTCGTTTTGTGTAAAAATACAGATTCTGATGCACTAGAATCTGATATATACAAGCCGAAAAACACATATTATGATCATCTTGCTTCAAAATGTAGAGTTCAAATGGGATAAAACGGGTAAAAATGTGATAATATTCCATATAATCTCGAAGATTCCACTAAATTTGAAACCACAAGGGTGGACGTGTAAGAAAATTTATAATTGAGGGGTGGTTGTAATTACTCAAACAAGAGGGGTTTATTTGTAATTTTGTCATACCTCAGGGGTGGTTGTAATTTACCCTAATTTTTATTTGTTTTATTTTTGCCTTTTAATGTCACTCCGTTAGTTTTTATGGCATGTTTAGGGAAGGGTGACTTTGGGATAATTTTGGAACGTGAGAGATGAAATTGGTACATTTCAATAGTTAGGGATTAAAGTGGGACATAATGTATACTTGAGGGACTATTAAAAAGATTTGGCCAAATAAAAAATTATAATGAACGTATATTGTTTCTTCAATTATACGTATTTTATAATTATAATAGTGGAAATAACATTTGGCAAAAACGTAGAAGTATTTTATGAGTTTATTGTAATTCGTACCCATGTGTTATATGAGTTAGCTAAAAGATTATCTTAATGTTATTTTATTACAAAATAACCCGACGCTTTTATTTTTGCTGAAAAAATGAATAATAGGGGATTTCTGATAATAAAATAACATATGGTGGTAGTATAGAAATTCTGTATAACACAAGGGTCTTAATTGCAATAAACCCGTAAATTTTTAAAACAAATTAAAGAATTAGCAGAAGTCAAAACTGAATTAGTTTAATTCAGCTTTTTTACTTAAATTCTCTCAATCTTCCGCCAAAATCATTCAGTTTTGAGTTCGTTCTCGCACAGGTTCTCTCTCTCCCTCTCCCTCTCTCGCTCCTCTTTCCGCTCATTTTCTCTCTCTTAGGTTTTCTGATTTCATGTTTTCCCCAGATTTCTTGAATAATCAGTTGCGCCAATCTTCTACTAATTGAGGTTTAAGCAGGTAATCCTTCAAATTTAAACTCCGATTTAAGCTACTGTATAATTCTTATTTTTCTATGGATAATTCGAGTTTTGAATGCAATGCCATGGTTGAATCCGAAAGAGATGTGATTTGGTATTTCTCCAAATTTGGAGTTCAATTTCAGTTGCTGTATCTCTTTCACTTTTTTTTTTTTTATTTTTTTTTATTTTTTTCAAATTGGAATTTTGGTTTTTTGCCATTATTATATGTTATATGCGAAGAAATGGAGTTGTAAATGCAATATTTAAAATTAATTGAATCTGAATGACCTATTTTTTATATATTATGAACTTCGTTGAAATCAGGGTTATGATTCTGAACTTTTAATTTTGTTGCTGTTTTTACTCTAGAGAAAGCGATATGGAATCCGAGTCTGTCGGCTCTAACGAGATGGCTGTAGATGAAGAGGAGGTTAACCAACCGAACCCCCCTCTTAACCCCCCACCGAACCCCCCTCCTAACCCCCCACCGAACCAAGTAGATGGAAATGCGATTCAACGAATTAATCAACGTCTGGCAAACATTCAAGAAGTTGTCGAAGGGCTGAACGTATCCAATGCAACTATCGTGGCTGAACAAGGCAATCTTCGCAGTGTAGTAGTTGATGTGCTCTCTGAACGTGTGAGAGAGCTAAGTGACGTTGTGAGTGGTTTGAATGAGTCACAAGGTCGATACGGTGCTGTTCTTGAACGGTTGGAGAAGCAGGTACAATCTCTTGTTGCTGATTCTGCAGCACAAAGTCTCAAAGTGGACTCGTTAACTGGTGATTCTGCAGCTCAAATTCGCAAAGTGGACTCGTTAACTGGTGATTCTGCAGCTCAAAGCGAGTTGTTGGACAAGATTCTTCAAGCCCTGGTTAAAAACAAATAGGTATGTTTGTTTCTTCGACATCTCTAGTATGGAATTGAGATTATCCACTTATATTTTTTCTTTCAGATTTTTTTTTTATTGATAAATTGCCAAAAGTAGCACGATTTATCTTGTTTAGATGTTCTGTGTCACCCCTGTTCGGATTCTAATTTTGAAGCTGTTTGTTGCTTATCACTAAATATAGACGATAAACTTGTCTCAAGTGTTACTTTGGTGCTCTCCGGGGGTGGTGGGGGTGGTCAAACTTTGCAAATGCCTGTATTTCCACAATCTACTTAACCATACCGTTTCTTGTTATTATCATCGATTATGTGTTTTCGTTATAATCGATTATCTGTTTTCGTTATAATCGATTATCTTTTTTCGTTATAATCGATTATCTGTTTTTGTTATAATCGATATCTGTTTTCGTTATAATCGATTATCTGTTTTTGTTATAATCGATATCTGTTTTCGTTATAATCGATTATCTGTTTTTGTTATAATCGATATCTGTTTTCGTTCTAATCGATTATCTGTTTTCGTTATAAACGATATCTGTTTTCGTTGAACTATTTATTCATGTTGGAATTTATGCAAGTGATTATTATTATATTGCAGGCCCCTTTCCCGTGAGCAGACTTTTGACTTTTTGATGACTCCCGAGTCTGTGATGATTGGCTTGAAGTTTGCTTTGGAATGGCTCTGTTGCTGCACTTACTTTTTGACCTTTGTAATTAGAAAGAAATACGAAGACTTTTAATTCCTTTTGAGTCTAAATTGTTTTTCGATCTGGTGTTCTTAGATACTTGGAAACTTCGCACAAGGTAATATTCTTCGGTAAACGATCAGTCAGAACCGCGCGTATGCGCGTTTGCTATTGTCGGTTGATTGTGAAACTGCAATATATGCACATAGTATTTTTTTGTTGAATGACCTGTCAGAACTGTATGCATGTTTGCTATTTTTCTGTTTGTTGCTCAGTGAAATTCGTTATATGCACTAGGTAGTAAAAATGTTCGTTGGATTATCAGGTTTCAGTTTGCGATTTGTGTAGTGTTTGTATCAGGTGCACCGTGCACGGTTTTTTTTTTCCTGTGCATATACATGGCATGTGAATATGGCACGAGGGCGGTAAAATATTCGAACCTACACTTGGTTAGGTAAAATATTTCTAAATCCATTGAATTTGAGCTGTAATTTTTTTTACACCGTCAATGAATTACAAGAATATTTTTACTAACAAATAACAATTGTCAGGGGTGGTTAGGTAATATTTTTACTATTAATTGATCGAACCACGTATAGTTCTAATTATCTCCTTTCATTTACTGCATTTTCCATGCACAATTAGGGTTTGTAGCTTAATTAAATGCTTTTGTTCTTCCATGCTTGATCGATTGTGGATAGTTGTTAGCGTGGTCGATTTGTGTCTGGAATTAGCATTTTACCCACAACAATTGGCGCCGTATGCTCGGAATTGATCCAAATCCATGTGATCCGCTAAGTTAAATTCACCCGCAACAACGACTTCGGGCCATGGCGCGTGTGAAGATGCGCGCGATCCTTGTTCAGCAAGGCGGACGGGATTGGAGATCTTAGAATAAGGGTAAGGGTGTTTGCTGGTGTTGTAAGAGTATTTATTGTCTGAGGTCCTGAGATAAGGCCGTTTTATTTTCTTTATTAGAAAAATTACAGTCTTGACTCCTCAAATTTGCCAAATTTCACATTTGGTCCCTCTTGTTCACAAACAAAATATATTTGGTCCCTCATGTTCGAATAATTTAACACTTTATCCTTTCCGTCAATTTACCGTTAGTGTGATAGTTAAGCCAGTGATGGGCGGCACACACTTGATTCTGTTAGTACTAATGAAAAATTAACGAAAATAACTAAAAGTGTTTAATTTTTGAAACATTAGGGACTAAATGTATTTTGTATGAACATGGGGACCAACTATGAAATTAGTGAAAACTTAAGGGGGTGAAAACTGTATTTTCCCTTCTTTATTTGGACGTTTAATATACTGGACCGATCAAGTACCCGATAACCGATCCGGAATTCCCTGGACCGTATTCAGGTAACCCGGAAATAATTTCCACAAAATGACCCGACCCGAATGCCCATCGCTAAACCCAAACCCAATTCCCAACTGTAACTTTACTCCGATCAAATCATTGGGTTCAGGATGATGATCTAATCACCATTACTAAAAACCTCTGAAACCCTTAGCAATGGGAGTAGTAATCGAATCCGAATTCTGGGAACCAAACCAATCAATATGCATTTTCTTATTCATCTTCTGCGTCTTGTCAATCTTCCTTTTGCCCACTAAATCCGCCGCGAATGTCTTGGATCACGCGCCTCACGGCGCGTTTCTTCGTTTCCAGCGGAAGTTTCTCCTCCTCTACGCTCTTTCCTCAGGTCACTTCAATTTTTCTGCATTTTAAATCAGTGTTTTTTTATTTTTCCTAATATATTTTGCTGACTTTGTGTGTGTGTGTGTTGGTTGCTGTGTAAATAGTGATGAAGGGTTTGTGGGCTGTGTTTGGAGAGTAAAGAGCAAATGGTTACGTTTTTATTGGTTGGATATGCGGCTTCTCTATCAATTGGGAGCTTTCTTGGAATGATTTCTGATTTAGTGTGAGTAATGCACTACTTATTCACTCATCAAATTATGCAATTTTTCCCATTTAGTGTGTGTGATTTTGGTTCGATATTCATTTATTTTCTCTTAGTAGTTAATTGAATAAATGGTCACAATCGCCAACGTTTACTAGATACTTTCCTCCGTTTCAAAATAGCCGTCGGTTAAAGTTTCGGCACATGTATTAAGAAAGGTAATGTAGGACTAAATTACCCTTCCAGCCAATTCTGTTTATTATTAATTACTTAATTATCGCCACTTGTGTAGTTTAATTTTTGATCGAATTTAGGATTGATGGGGGCAAATATGGAAGATTAAACAAATTCTTGAAAGGGATGGTTAATTTGAAATGGAGGGAGTAGATCTTCGACAATGTTTACGAATTGAATTTATTTTTATATACGTTGGTAGTAACATGCCTTAGTTTTACTCAACAACCTTATTTGTTATAGTTCTTCTTTGAAGGCTCGTTTTGCATTTGATAGAGAGTAAAGTTATCACATTTTTTTTTTTCGGTGCAGAGGTCATAAGAAACTTTGCTTGTTGTTTTACTTGCTACACCTGTTCGTGAGCATATCGAAGATAGTTATTGGAACTCCGACTATTTGTTTTACAAGCATCTTTCTTGCACTGGCTTCTTCTATATTTTCCTTTAAGTTTCGAGTCGTGGATGGTAATCGAGTACGACAAGGTTGGTTTTGAGCGCATATTGATCTCTTGACATTGCATTAATTATCTTCGGCATTTATATGTTTGTTGACCTTTTTTTTTTTTTTTGCAGCTAGGTCAACGGCAAGATTCACTGAACGATATGTTTTGGCTGATGACTTTCTTCGAGTCTGCATCTTTCATTAGCAGCCAGGTTCTTGCGAATTATTTCGTTGATGGTAATGTGTTCAAAAACGTTAAATCTGTGTGGAGTGGAGCTTCGGTTCTGGCATTTGTAGGTATTTTGTTTGTTACTCGAGGTGGGAAAGAAGCCCGACAAACAGCATCTGTGAAGGATCATCACATTTCATTGCATAGACATGCTACTAGTGGTATGTGTTTCATTATGTTAATATATGCAAAAAAACGAGTATTCGTTCGAAGCTCTTCAACTTGTTTAGAAAGTCTTGAATACGCAGGAAAAAAAACGAGAACAATTTTTTCGCCTGATTTTCCCCCCTCTATCGTATGCATCTATGAGTCTTTTACCGTTATGCATATTAACATGTTTCGTGATTTTTTTTTGTTTTTTTTTTTCTTACGTTAATTGTAAAAGATTACTAATGGACCCAATATTATCATTTGAGCCCATATAATTGCAAAGTAGACAATAATTTCACTTCGCCTAATCAAAAGCATTGAGTTCTCATGATGCAGATGCTTCTTTAAGATAGAAACCGTGTATACGGTTTCTCCATTAATTCTCTATATATTGCGATAATATCGAACTCCTCTACTGATTCACAGTCCATTTTCTCAACACTTGAATCTTAAAATCGATTTTTTTCTCAAAATTGAATCGACAATATTAGGAACTTCGTTCCATAGCTATCTTAGACGATATCAAATACGCACCACATGAAAACAAAGATATGCAATAAAAACGACACAAAGATTGTGTAAAGAATACATGCAATAAAACATACTGATTATATGCCAAATCGGTGGATCTAACTAACACCTCTAGTGATTATGAGCTCCGGCCGTTTTCACTGATGCTGTTGGTTTGCCATAAACATTCGTTCGAAGCGAGCCTTATCTTCTTTGTGTTGGAATTATTTCAATAATTATGTGGGCTCACATATGTGACGTAAATGTGTATGGCTATCTTAAAGAAAATCCAAATTAATTGTGATCTAATAAAGGTTATTGGGTTGGACTTATGGGTATTAAACTATAATTATGGGCCTAATGTGTAGAGACAATTAGGGCTTAGTTGTGATTTATTGATGGAGCTGAATCACAATTATAATATAACTGGACTCTACAGTTATATAAAGGGTCGTGGTCCCCAAAGAAACGCAACCATCGGGAATTTTATAGTTAATTTTCTTTGTTGCATGCTTCGTGACATACGTTCTGCAATTACGTTTGAATCTGGAATCAAATATGTTTATATTGATATTATAAAACCTTTTGCCTCGTATTAAGGTATTAGATTTTCTGAATTAGGGTTTCATGAATATATGGTATTTTATTCATGTTAGGAATTATGAAATGCTGGTTGTGGAATAAAATCTAGTCGGCCTGTCTTTTGTGTGATTATCTATGAATTGCACAATTGAATTTTAATTTCTGACTGGCGATTTTTGAATTGCACAATTGTTGCCTGAATTTGAAATTTCGGATTAAAGTTTTAAGGATTCATTCATTAAGAATAAGAATTAAGGTTAAAGGAATTAAATCTGAGAATTCCAAATCTGAAATTTGGGGCGGCGGCCATCAGGTCGAGCCTGCTGCACCGAGTTTTTTCAGTACCGCCAATTCATCGGCCGTCGTCGACCACCAACCACCACCCCCTCACTTCTTTTCCGGCATCCATTAGGTGAAATGGGCGGATTGCGTGTGCTCATATTATTACTGATGTTGAGTGGCGTGATTCGCCTAAAGGGAAGCCAGAGCGCCGACGGTGGATTCCGACGGCGTTGATATTTGTGGGTTGCGTGTTTCCGACGGTGGTATGTGGTATTGATGGTGGCGGTGGAGTTGGCTGATGTACGACGGCGGTTGATTTGCTAGAGAGGATAAAGTTCTAGCAAATTGCAACTTACTCCAATCAAGTTTTCTGAAATTACAAATTGACCCCATATTTGGGTAATTCCTGATTTTGGGCTGGGGTCAATTTATAATAAATGAAAATCTGATTATGGGCCCAAAGCTTTCGAAAAGTGCATTTCAGTCCCCACTTTTAAAGTTTCTTCCAAAACAGTCATATATTTTTCAAAATATATTATAAATCTCAAATTAAGTATTTCTGAATCTTAAATCCCTTTTTCACTCAGAGTCTTTTCTTTCAAAATTTCAATTCAGTCATTTAAGTTGAAAGATTTTCTGGTTTTGGGGCAAGGGTAATTTTTAAGGAATAAAAGATTAATTTAAGGTTTTGGGGCCGTTTAAAATATTTCAATTATTTTGAGGGACCGAACTAATATGTGAATTCTTTTAAATTCTTTTGAGGTTTTGTTTGGTCAATAAAGTGAAGTTCATTTTGAATTTCAAATTTGGTTTTCTAAGGCTAATTTGGGGAATTTTCAGATGATAAAGTTTATGCCGTTTAGACTTAAATTTTTTGAGTAATGGGTCAAAATTAAGGATACAAATTAATTTTTAATAAGCTTTTGATCCATTGTCATTTCATCGTTATTGAGTCAAAATATGGATAATGGTTATTAGTTAACCAAATAAGGTTTGATTCATTCGGCATTTGAGTCGAAATCCTTGTTTTAAGTCTAAATTGAGTTACTAATAAAGTCCAAATCTATATAAAGGTAGATTTATTGGTATTTATTTTGGCCTCTAAATCTAAACAAGGTTGAATTGTGAGCCCCACATTATCTTTAGCTCAAATTCAAAATAAAGATGGATTCGATGTTTTTAATTCATACTCATTTTTATGAATAACCATATTACTGAGTTTGATTCGAAAACAATACAATGAGGCAACCTTAGTGTTGAATATAAACTGTTAGCGCTCAGGTGATGTCTTTAGAGCCTTAGCGTTCAACAACGACTTTAAATTTTTGAACAATTTTTGGGTACATCTAACGACTTGTTATTAAGTTTGTCTGACATTTAAAATAACTAATTGAAGCATGACGCCACCCTACGTGACCTCTCTGTGTAGATTAGTTAATTGAGAATGTCAAGATGTTTATGTGTATGTGAATTCATGCGAATTTTAACACTACCCCTACGGTAGGTTAATACTTGGCCGAACCACATATGCAACTGTGGTAATAAACATGTGATGATTATTTGGCTCCATGTGAATAAAAGTTACATCCCTACGATGAACTTATTATTTGACAGGATTTATTATCAATGTTTGATTACTACAACAAGAGTGTCACTTACAATTAATATTACTGTCCCTACGACTTGATATTAATGTTGTGCTAGGCATCTTGAGATGTATTCCATAGTTATTTAAAATTTTAAAGACAAACTTTGGATTATAATGTGAGCGTATTGATTTTATTTACGTTGTCTATTTAATTGTTTTACCTGCTTACACATTATTTGCCTATAACACTTTTGTGCTTAATTGCACAAATATTTATTCTTCTTATTATTATTTATTATGGTGCATAGATCTTAATTTTTTATTTTGGATAGAACAATAGAAGAACCTAGAGTATATCATCGTTCTAATTATAAAATTTAAGATCATTAGGTGCATCTATTTTAAATAATTTTGGGGGCATAAGGTTTAATTAGGGGCTACGTACTAAAAAGTTCCTTAAAGATAGCAAGGATACGTTTTATTTTAAAACGATAAAGTTGTAACAAATTAGATTTTGACATCTATTGCTTATAAAGAAAAAGAACATAAATGAGAACATCAAGTAATAGTCTAATCTCATTTTCAGTTATAGCACTTCAGTTAGTGTGGTTTCACTGACTTGAAAGTGGATATGGTTTAATTTATTTTTCTCCGTGAACGGTCAATATAAGGTTTGTTGTAAAACATAAAGAATAAAACTTTGACCGTACACACGAAGAATAAATAATTAAAGGGGAAAAGACTAAGTGTTAATTTCACTAGTACACCTTAAGATAAATATTTATAATTGCAGTTTACATCTCAGGTACGTTGAATAACGTAATTACGTTTGCTTCTCACTTTAATATGTTCTAAAATATATTTTGACTTTGTACCTTGACACATTTAGTGAATAGATCCTGGGTTACACTATTCACGTAAGTGTATATATAAGGGTTATTTACATAAGCAATATTCAATTGATGTTGAAAGATACATCTATAAAGGTTATGTAAGGTATTTGAGATTGAGACTATGAGGACTCCTAGGTTTTCTTTTGAATTATGAAATAGGCCTTTGGTACCGTCATTAGATGGATTTAAATTTTCTCTTGAACAAATTCGGTTAGCTTGTTCATTTGGAAATATTAAGCTCGGTCTATTTTATAATTCAAAATTTAACCTATACTTTAAGTAAAAGTCTCTTACAGTAAAATATTGCATAAGCAATTTAAATGGTACAAAATTGAAGAATAGAACATTCAAGGACATTCAAAGAAGTATGATAAGTCATTCTTCTTCACTAAGGTATATTTAGGAGAAACATTAAGTGCTGCAATATATTATTTTTAAAAGGGGAAATTTAAAATCTTTTAAGGATGTTGAGTTTGAGGGGAGAAATTTAGATTAGAGACATTGTCTTTAAAGATGAATCAATTTGATTCGTAATACTGCTTTTGACAATATGCATGTTTTTATACTTGTCGTTGTTTGAAAAGTAGATTTGGAGTTTTGATAAGACAATGTTGTACAATTCCCCAAATCAAGTTTTGGTAATTGTCACTACAGAGAGCAAACTCAACAACCTTAAGAGAATAAGCCATTAAAGATGAGTTGGAATTTAGAATGACAATACATTAGGATCTTATCGAATTGCCATAAGGTGTGAATTTATTTGGTTACGAATAATTGAGACCAAATGTAATTCAAATGGGCAATATTGAAAGCTATATAGTACGTTAGTCATTAAAGATTTCACTCATATCGACTCTATTAAGAGATTTATGAACACAAGGAATATGTTTCTCAAATGGTAACATTTATGGAACAATAAAGTGCAACCATAAAATCTTAATATTTAAAGATTTGAAGGATAGTGATTGCAAACTAAAGTATTCCATTAATGAAATTAAAATTCCCGTTAATGATGTTACAATCCTAAGCTAATTATCTCATATGCACTTTGAGATAAATAAAGTTAATGAGTGTACATACCCAAGGATCAGTGGGAGATAATCTCACAACAAAGAAAACTTGTTTAGTTCATTTCAATGCCCAATAAATATTTTAAACTAAAAGAATGTGCGCATTCGGTTAAGGCGTGCATAAAGTTAGGCAAATATTTGAATAACCCTATAAAGTGGATCATTTAGAAAAGCAGTCAAAAGGGTTATACACTAATTATAGAGAACAAAAGTTATATATATGCTCGATTATCAAAAATCATTTATTTTGGG